TTTATTTATTTCTTTTTTCCTGATTGTTAGGTACTAAATATATTCTGATTTTAATCATTAAATTTTTTATATTTTGTGATTTTAATAAATCTTTAGCTTATTATAATTAGGTTTTACTTAGTTTAAAATAATTGTCTTAACCTCAATAAAGTTATATTTGTTAGTTTATTTTTGCCTTGGTTTAGTATTAGTCACTCAAAATAATATTTTTATTAATTTAATGAATTTACCATCTTAATTTATATATTTCTATCTGTTTACTTAGTTTTTTTCTATTTTTAAAATAGAAAATCTTGTTTAATCTGTATTCTTTGAGTTTTTCTTTATATTCTTAAAAGCTTGCGTGAGGTGATTAAATGCAATTTAATTTTAATTAAACACAGATTATTTGTATTAAACATTTCTTTATTTAGTTATTTTTAAAGGATGACTGAGTTGAAGAAAAGCTATTCCATTTTTTAATCTATTATTATTAATCTATAATGTTTTATTTGATGATAAATTATTGATCATTATGCAATTTTTAAGGTCCTTAATTTCTGGAAAAAAAGTCCTTAATTTTTTTGATAAAAGTCCTTAAAAGTGCTTAATTTTTGCTTTGATAAAAGAGTGGGAACCCTGTAAAGTCATTTTCATTTTAACTTAAATGAAAATAGTATACTCTATATCTCTTCTGAATTTTTCTGATGTTCTTAGTAGAGATTATTTTTATAACTGGGGTTAGTTTACTGTTTGAAAAAGTAAAATTTCCCTGACTGATTGCATATTAACTCATTATTATGGCAAGAAGGAGTCAATATGGCAAATGCTTAACCGTGGGAATCTCTTAATTCAATTGTTATAACTTATTCAAATTTAACTTAATTTTAGGAAAATTAACAGATGAGAATTAATACCATATATCCCAGTGTATTAGTTGACCTCTTATGTAAGTTGACCCCTATTTTTATTATGTAATGACAAATTTCTGGTATGTCAACTGCAGTAAAACTAACTCAGAAAAGTGCTGTTTTATTGTAAAATCTTAATAAACGTGGAATTTCAAATTCTTTTGATGGGTGGGGGACTATTTATTGTTGGATTTAGCAGATGAGTTGATTGCATTGCTGGAATCCATATGGCCAGGGTTGCAAAAAATCCACCTGCCCAATAAAAACCGCCCGGGTTTTACTGGGTAAAACCCACTCTGAAAAACCCGGTAAAACCCACCCCAAAGTGGGTTTTACTCGTTTTTTCTAAGATTGATTTCTTTTTTCATCCTCTGTTATATTAAAGAGCTATTCTATTGAAATATATATGTAGTCTAGCCTAAAAAAAATTAACCTACAGTGAAGAAACTAATTGTGTTGGAGACTGAAGAGTCACCTTGCCGGCTAGATTTGACTGTATGGCCATTGATTCGATTTCTATGCAAATAAAAAATCTTCCTCAAACATTTTTTAAGATTAAAATATAAATAAAAAGCTAACCTGTGTTAAAATAAGTTTCAAATGTGTGATGTATGTGAGTACATATAACATTTTGTATCGTGATATCAGAAGAAAATTTTTTCAGACTTTCACATCAATTTATTTGTATTAATTATCTATATGAAATCAATTTATAAAATTAAACTTAATTATTAATATTAAAATAAGGTACTTATCCCTGCCCTCTCTTCTGAAAACCCCCCCTAAAAACACGAAAAGCCGAATAGAACCCAGAAAAACCCAGGTTCTTCTACAAAAACCCGGGTTTTTGGCTATCTTTGGGTCATATGGCTATATGGTGACAGTTCTAACTCTATTTAATCCAACAAAGATGATGTTCTGGACTTTCTTGCTTTGTAGTTTTATGGCCTATTTTTTAAAAGTTTTCGTTTTTTTATAATTTTTGATATATTTTATAATTTTTCGTTTTTTTATAATTTATTATACATATTCCTCTTCACTCTGAAGCATGGAGCTTCAATCATCTCTCTCTACCTTTTACTTGATATTTTGTCTCTCTCCATGTTTTTCCTATTGTTTTCAATTTGCCTACAATCGCCCTGTGCCAAGCATTTTTAGGTCTTCCTCTTTTTCAATTGCCCAGAGGGTTCCAATCAAAAACTTGTTTTACTTTAAATTTTTCAAGTTTATGTAGAACATGACCAAACCATTTACATTTTTTAATTTTCACTTCAATTGGTTTCTGTTTTATTTTCTAAGGATTTCTTCATTACAAATTTTATGAAGCCACCTTGTTATGCAAGATTCTACTTATACTGTTGTTTATAAATATTAGTTTTTATTTGCAATATTTATTACCGGACAGATTTAACATTAGTATTGAAAATTCTAATTTTTATTGAATTTGTTATGTTTTTGTTTTTCCAGAATTTATTGAAAATTGCATAACTGTTTCAAGCTTTGTTTAATTTATTTAGTATATCTTCATCAGTTTCTCTTTTGTTTATTATACTTCCAAGATACGTTAAACTGTTTACCTCTTCTAGTTTATTTTCTAATTGTGTAGGGTAGTAGTTAACTTTCAAAATTTCAGTTTTATTTTCAAAATTTCAGTTAAATTTCATTTTCTTTACTTCTACGTTTAAAATATTTGTGTTAGTTTGCATGTTCTGAAAGGTGTTGTTCAGTAAACATAAGTCGCCTGGAAAGTCATAGTCGGAAAGATACAGCAAGGTTACATCTTATACCCCTTTTATTCTCTGATGCTCTCTTCATAATCCACTTAATAGCAATTAAAAATATTGTTAATAGGCATTAATAACTTGTGTACTGTTTTTATATTAATTTCATAGTACTTTAACAGCTTCCAGAGTAATTTTTGAAATACTCTTGTATAAATTAGTATAACTTAATTAGTTATCATAATTTTTTTTCTGGATGATATTTATAGTATTGTAACTAAAAAAAACTAAATGTATTAAGAAAATGTAAAATTTATTGTGTTACATTATTGAGAATAGGTTTTGAAAGGGGTAGATTAATCTAGGGTTATTCATATTTATCTCATTGTTTACAGTGCATCATTATTTAACGATCAACACATGCCCGACTTTATTGTCGGTATATATGATAACTTTCCCGCTTAACTTTTAAAAAGTCCACTGATCCACCAAGGAGTACATTAAGATAAGAAAAATGATAATAGAATCTAAATTTATAGATAGTGATTAACTGTCTTGTAAAATCCAATAGAACTGTAGATAGGCTGCATTTCTCTGCAAAATACTTTGTTAGCTCTTTCTTACACAAAAGTATGGATGGAAAACAATTTCTTGGCAATGGTGACTCTGGACTTTTTTCCCATAGAACCACTTGGTGAAGAACAGACTGAAATCATTTATTACAATGAGAAGTATTATTAATATGTGTATTTACATATCTGATATTGTTTTTCACTTTTAATGTTTTGTAAACTTTTTTTTCTTCTTTTAAAATTTCTATTTTAAAAATTGATTTACACTATTTTGCAGGGATTTGCATTCATCAGCTACCATCGGCGAGAAGATGCCGCTAGAGCAATTCAAAGTGTTGATGGCTTTGGATATGATAATCTTATTCTAAGTGTTGAGTGGGCCAAGTATGTCATTAATTCATACATTAAAATTGTTTTTTTTTCTCTTTTTTTATTTTAAAAAACAATATAATGTCCACTAAATCATGATACAACGTTCTATTATTCAATTCCATTGTAACACACTAACAATTATAGATAAATAAGTACTTTTTTAAAAATACATAAAAAAATTATTTTAAGCATGCCTACATTTAGTATGTAACCTTATTAAATAATTATGATTAAACGATGGTAAACAAACAAAAATTACCTTGCTTTTAGATATTACGTATTAATAAACCTACCTATAATAAGCATATTTATTTTAAAATAATGCATATTTTAATGTGAATATAATTTGCTACATTTAATGGGATTACTTTCATAAAATTATAACTGCAACCACAATTTAAAGAAAATGCCAAACAAATATAATTTGCAAAAATAAATACATTTTTAATACATTTTTTAGTAAACATTTAATAACATAATAATAACATTAGTAACATAATAATAACATTTAGTAACATAATAATGAATAACATTTAATAACATAAATCATTTAATTTTTGTTAATAATTTAAGGCCCTTTTTAATTATTTTGTTTTAAAAGATATTTCTGGTGCCTGGTGTAACTTTATAAAAAGGTTTTTACTGTAATATTTTAATTTTTTTTTAAACTGCAATTATTATTTTATGGAGAAATTTGTCTTTTTTTTTAAAAATAAAGATAACTTGAGAAATTGATTTCTATGTGTATTAATAGGACATAGTATCGTAATATTGTATAATGCAACTGGATAGTATGCATGAATAATAAGGATTTTGAATTATTCTTGTTTAAAAGTCATATGCTAATTGAGTAATAATGGAAAATCCTATCTGTCTGATTTATTTTGGATAACTTAATTAATGTTTATTCTTTTTAATTGTTTTTCGGAAAAGAAGATAACCTAATCTTTTGCAGCTTCCATCAATTTCCTATAGTTGAAGGAGTGGAAATTTTATGAACTTTTTTGTCATTTTAAAAAAGAAGTATTCATAAAAATTTAAACTAAGTGTTGCTTCTATAATGTTAACTTTTTGTTATATTCTTATTGGAAGATCAAACTTAGTATTCGTCTTCTTAAAATCTTTGTAGCTTGTTAAGAAAATGCATTTGAAACATTTTGTAATAAGATAATTTTTTTCAGGCCTTCTGGAACAAATTGAAAATAGCTGTTCATTTACAAAATGACTTTTGGATTTATACTATGAAATATCTGTATAACTGGACTTATATAATAAAATACAATTGTATTTGTTTGTTAAAAAAACTTTTGAACATACACATTTTAATTCTTTTAGGCTTATTATGTAATAAAATTCAATAGAACTCACACAAAAAATCCTATTAGATTTTTATTATGAAATATTCTACAAATAGACTCATCAAATAAAATTTAAATTTCTATTATCAGTGAATTTCTTTGTGTATTTTGTCTTATTTATTATGCATGTTAATTTTATGTACATTTCATTATAAAGCTACCGTATTATTTGTAAAAAAGTATACTAAGGTACTATTTGTAAGTTGGTAACAAAAAAATTACCCTTTCCCCCCTTTTTTTTTTAGAATAATACCACCCATGTATAAGGGTGAGAATAAATTTATCAAATAAGATCAAACTCAATTCTTCTTTCCCTTATGAACTAGTCTTACTCATGCCTTTAATATTAGTTACTTAAAAACAGCTCCTTAATTTTCGAATTGATAACACTTTACTTAGCTCAGATTGTATGCCTTTTGCTTCCTGAAATTTAAAAAAAAAATAATTGGTTGTTAAGTTACCAGTTTACTCTTAAAATAATAATTTAATAAGCATCATGTCATCATTTTATTACAGTTGTTAAATTAGAAAGTCTGTGTACCCAGTCTAAATTAAATTGATCACATGTGGGAATTTCCAAAGTCTTTCTTATCAGAAGAGATAATAGACATGAACTATTTGCACTTGCTAGAAAATTCCTAAGAAAAAGGAAAAATTCTTTTGAACTTAAGTATTAATTATGTTTTAAACATAGCTGATAAAAATATGATCTAGTTATTAATTTTTTATTGTGTATAAAGGTATATGTAATTTTAAATTCTGGAAAAAAAATTTACATTTCTGAAGGATTCAAAATTATATATTTTATTTAAATGCATGCATTAAACAATTTTTTATATAATTAGGCATGGTTTGAAATCATTTTGTTGTCACAAGCAATTTATTTTATTTAGAGAATCATGAAAAGAAATTGAAAAAAAATTCAGATATTATGTGAAATGTTAACACTCAATTGACCTGCAATTTTACTCTTAAACTATGTCGTGTCATGGCTGTTTGTTATTAAGTAAAGTAAAACATTCTATACAAACTCCAATAAATTTTATTTATTCTCCATTAAATGGAACTAAACTTTAGAATAATCAATATTAGCCTGTGTTTCATAAATTAAAATAGATAATGCAAATATAATGGTGAATTGACTTGTCACTGGTCGACAATGTATTAAATAATTTAAGAAGTAATAAAAATGATTAAATGTTTGAAATAAAATAATGCTTCTTTGTAAAGAAATTTTAAATTATGTTATCCATCATAATTTTTAAAAAAACATCAAATGAAAAATTTTTTTTAAATGTGTTTAATGAGGAATTTATTCAAGAATTTAATAAAATCATTTGGTATTTTTAAATAGCAAAAGTTATTGAAGGTTTTTCACTGTTGAATACTTGTTTTTTTTTTTTTTTTTTTTTTTTTTTTTTTTTTTTTTTTTNAGAGAAAACAGACTTTTCATACCCTTGCTACTAAAACTGCAATTTCTCCTTATTTTCTACGAGTGCATTTTTCACTCTTCTTTTTTTTCGATATAATTCCCTTTATTTAACGTTCCCAGGGTGATTATGAATTTTTTTTTTATCTCTTATGAAAAGAAAAAATTACATTTTTCTTTTCATAAGAGATAAAACCATTCATAAAAGAAGGTTATCAAACAGGGATTATATAATTTAGAAATTCCCTATTTTGCAGGGTTTTTTTTTTTTTTTTTAATTTTTTTTATCTCTGTGTGACGGAAAACATGTTTTGATCCTTAGCCTTTTCACAGGACATCAAGCTACCAATGTGAAATATGAAATTTTTATATCTTTTAAAAATTTTATAACTAGAAAAATGATGCGTAGTGTATTTTCAGTTATATAGTGTTTACATTCATTTTAATAGCTTTTTAAAGTACTCTGAATGCAAATGATTAATTTAATATTAGAATTTTTTGAACTATTATTAATTTATTTATAACATTTAACACTTTTAATATTTTTTTTCAAAAAATACATATTTTTTCACATATTGCCTGTGTATTTTGTCCCATTTTTTATAACTAATTCTCGCGTAATTAACAATGCAAACGTTCAACTTTTCACAACTTAAATTTACATTGCAATATTGCTTTTGCGATAAAATCTGCTCTAGCGGTTTGAAAAAGATAGAAAATTCTGTAATGAAATCCAATTAAATTAAAATTGCTGCATTTCAGCTAGTTAGAAAGGGATCAACATTTTGATTGGCGAGGAATTCCTGATGGCGATTACGATAAATTCTGCTTGTGTTCGTCAGGAAAGAATTGATACATGCATTGGTAAGTTAAACGCGGAGAAGCAGTTACAATTTCAGCTTTTTAGATAGTCCGGCTTATGATTGATTGATAATGAATTCTGGCGATAAATATGTTTCTTGTTGTCAGGAAACAGTGGTGTGTAAACGTGTGTGGATGCTCAAGGCAAACTTTTCAATTTGATAACTCAATTTTGAAAATAGAATAATAATAATGTAATCAAGGAAGGGGCACAAAAAAAAGTCAATTGCGTATTTACATTTGAAGAAGATCACGTATACTCACACATGTGATCAATAATGTCAGCCCCTCTGCAGAGGATCAAAATTGTGATGGCATGTCTTCGGATCATCCCCAGGGATGTTTCCCAGACCGTCGCCAATAGCCCATTGTACAGCTCTAGTGCGACGTAAATGAACTACAATAATGTCAGCGCCAGCTGATCGTCTATAAGCAAAATGGCATGTTAAAGTTGAGCTAAGTTTCTCCACGTAAGTTAGAATGTTAATTAACGTAAAGTTAATTACAAAATTAAAGTTAATTTAATTAACGTAAAGTTAATTAAATACAGCGCCGTATTGCTTATCGAATTTGTTGAAATATAACTCTTCCGCTTCTACGTTTTTTACTTAACTAAAATTTATTATTTGTTCATGTATTTTATTCTAACCGTGATATATTATTGTTTTGTGTACCTAGCAATGCATAATTAGTTTAATATCTCATGGCTTTGTGCCTGTCTTTGTGTTAAATATGAAATATATAGTGAAAGAATAGAAATCTTTGGGAAAGAATATAGAACGTGTCACTATGGAGAATTGATGCTTGCGAGCTTGGCTTTCTCGAAATAGAATAGAAAGAACAGTTGCTTACGTAAACAAATGCTACATTTCAGCAACCAATCAGGATCGAGATACCCACACTACGTCACTTGCAGGTATCCTATTTAACTCTTAAAAAAAAAGAAATGGTATACATATATTCATTTTTTAATCATTATTTTCTCAATACTTTTTTACGTAAATGTATGCTTAAATTATTATATGGTAAAAAACTTATTATTTCCAACAAAATATTTTGAAATTGCAGAATGTAAAAATATTTAAATTTTAATGACGTATAACTTCATTAAAATTTAAAATGGTAATTTTATTTGAAATCATATTTTTTCCTTCACAAAAGTTGAAATGTTGAATTTCATAATAAGAGTAAATCTAATGGACTGAAGTTTTAGTGCCGTTAGTCGTCAACTGGATTCGTCCCCCTTTTCTGTATGCCTGGGATTTTTGCCCCTTCCGCTAATCTCTATGCACACCACTCAGGTAACCATTAAAACTTATTAACAGATATAGAAAAGTGTCACTGGTCGAAAAGCGTTTAAAATTTACATTAACAAAAATTTCTGTTTGGAGATAATATGACTATAAAATCTGACTCTAGCAGTCAGAAAATGATAGAAACTTGCATTTCCAACAATACAGAGATGCACTTATAATTCGTGCCTTTTTAGCTAATCAGACAATGGTCGAAAATTTAAATTAGAAATAATATAACAATAACTTCCATTTTTAGCAATCGGGAAGCGTTTTAAACTTGTACTGAAATCAGACACAGAACTCCAGTTGAAATTTGATCAAATTGGCTTGTTAGAGCAAAAATTGTAAATTGATACATTTTCCTTGGCGATAATAAGATGCAGCGATCTGACTTGTGATGTCATTTAGCACAGAGCTTAAGATAAAATTTTAGTGCTTTACGCTAGTCTCAAAGTTTGCGGAAATTTTATTGACAATAAATATCTTTTAACTATAATATCGGAATAAATTCTTCTTGTAATGGTCTGAATATAATTCACTGTTGTATTGTCGCCCAGTACAGAGAACTTTAATTCAGATTTTGAGTGTTCTAGTAAATCTTAAAATAATTAGATTCTTATTGACGGTAAATCCACTTTATCGATCATATAGCAATAAATTCTGTTCGCAGCGGTCAGGAATGATCAATTGCCACAGAACACCTAAACTGTCGATTTTCTGCATAAAATCTCGATATTGACAGGTATATCACTGAAAATAAGCAGGAGGAAGGACCATACCCATATTTTCCCCCATGTATTGTACACGCCCACATGCACATATGTGTTCTGTTTTTACTTTCCAATGAATCGGTTCCAATATCCCGTTTCGATGAGTGCTATGCACTGCTATACATGTGTTAAATTTCATGTTTATTGATCCTGTCGCTCATCATGAAATCGAAAAATTCTCCACAACTGTCAATGTACAGTAAATCTGTATAATTTAAACTTCAGGTAAACTAACTAACTTAATTCAAATAAAAAGGTCTGACTAGTTTTCCCTAGTAAGAAAAAATTTGTCTCAAAATTTTTAGTAGGGGAAAAATGGGGGTTCTGCCGCAGCAGGAGGTGTACAACTCAACATTTCAGATTCGGCTACTGCCGCAGAAGGAGAAATACAACTCAACAATCTATGACGACAGGAGTTTTTCTGAGATTGTGAGATCCCTATTTTAGATAAGGTTTTATCAGATGGTTTATTTTTATCTCTTCTTTAGAAAGGGAAAGAATTATTTCTAAGTCCCGAAAATAAAAATAATTCTTTCCCTTTCTAAAGAAGAGATAAAAAATAAACCATCTGATAAAACCTTATCTAAAGTAGGGATCTCAGAAAAAAATCCCTGTCGTCATAGATTGTTGAGTTGTATTTCTGCTGCTGCGACAGTAGCCGAATCTGAAATATTGAGTTGTACACCTCCTGCTGCGACAGAACCTCCATTTCCCCCCTACTATTTTTCGATCTAAGTTTTCATTTAAATTATTGAACTTTTATTTGTTTTGTATTTATGTTAATTTTTTTAAATATTATTTTGTTTCAGATCGACACTAGGAGGCTCCGTCTTCTGTTCGCTTTCGCCAGCCAACCAACAAAACTGCTGACCAAGTTCCTTTTCATTCCCTTCTCTAATTCTTTACTCCTAAGTCTCGTTTACTATTCTATAGTTTTTTATGACTTAATGACTTTTATAGTTTAATTATATTAAAACCTATGCCTTCGGGTTATTACCGTTCTCCAATCAACGGAACTGCTTGTTCGGTACTTTACAGATCGCTTCGCTTGCTTTTTTCATCTGTCATAGATGTCCAGCTCATCCATCTATGAGTGAAATTACCCCTCGGGTGGCAAACAAATCATATTTGTTCTTTGGAAAACGCAATTTTGTAATTAAATTACTCGAAATAAATTAGACAAAGTAAGACGCTTTGTCCATCCTCAGACGTTGTAACTACAGAGGGAAAAAATCTTAATTCTCCTGCTAATAGTTTTCTCTACACTCAATTCAGGGCAATAAAGAATCATCAAGTTTGACTTAAAATAACTCAAAAACTAATATTCTCTTATTTAAACTACAATTAAAGATTATACCTCCTGCCCCTTGCTAGCTATTGTTTGTACCCGTTGGTAAATATTTTTAATTCATCAAATTCAGCCCGAAAGAAGTTGAAATTTTAAATAAAAAATTTTTTAAAAGTTTGAATTGTAAAGATTTAAATGGAAAAATAGCTGAGACATGATAAAAAACAGCGGAAGGAGGTAAAGAAATTGATTGTTTGACGTCACCGGAAAGGGAAAAGAAAGCGCTGCAGGGCGTGGAAAAAAGAGAACTCTCTATATTAATTCATGTAAATATTAACAAGACCATTTAATTAAAATTATCCTATTATAAAATAAAGGAGAATATTTGGCTATGGATCAACCCGAAAGATGTGGAAAAAATAAAAAATTTTCGTTGTCCTTTCATTTTTAAATTCCAAAACAAATTCGAATTCGAAATTTTATCATACGTCAGTAGAGTACGTGGCTGCAAAAAAAAGAAGAAAAAACTATACCTTTACTGTGATTAATTTTTCTTTTACACCGATAAACCGATAGTATAAACTATTTAATTAGGTACTCCAAATCTAACTCGAAATTGAAACAATGTGAGACGAGTTACCCATTTACAGACATCAAAGTACATATAGCCTCTAAAATATCATTATTCTCTTGCCAGCAGTTTAGCTAAACTAAATTAAACATAGCAGAAAAAATAAATTATTTAAAATTGATGTAAAATAACACCAAAAATTCTAATTGCATCAATAACATCATGATATCTGAATGTTCTTAAAACATTTCTTTAGTGAATGTGAAATGTGCAAAATTTCACATTGTCTAATCTCCAATTTTAGAGTTATGTCAGCGAAAAGTAGTCTCGGTGAAATTTCCCTGAAACAATGGTGATGGCGACAGGAAATTTTTCTTTAATATAGAGAGAAACGTAAACGTATAAGACAAACGCAATGAAAAAAAAAAACTCAATTTTATTGTTTTGATTTATATCAATAATATTCACGCAAAAACTATTTGGAGAAATTTAAATATCGCTTTATTTTATATATTTATTTTTTTCTCTTTTAGGAGAAACATGACTTTATTTCTTCTATAGAACGTCGGTTAAATACTTTTCCGGTAAGGAAAAAACAAATTATAAAAGTAAAAAAAAATAAAAAATGAGAATGAACGACATTACAGTGAATACCAATTCATATCCCAGAGAATGTTTTTAAGAGAAAATAAAATCCTAAATTTCCATACATAAAAGGAAAATATGGGGTAAAAGGGGAATTTCATTGGAATCAGAAATTTTACTATGCACTAGTAACGTTTAGAGCGTGAATCCAAACCTCGTTTTTGGCTTACGATTGAGAATGATGAAATGATTCCAAAGGAAATAATTTTTTTTAAAAGTTAATTTAATTCGCTTTTTCAGAAAATGAAATTTTTTTAAAGCACTCTATGCTAATTAAAAATATTCAATTGTGTATTATTTTTACTATTGTATTTTTTTCTTCTTCCTGTAACAATCAAATTCTTTAAAACCCAAAACATTTTTTTTGTACTTTAATTTGACTTATTAAAGCTTCGAATTCTAAGGACAACAAAAAGTATATTTTAAAGTCGCTAGATGGCGATAAAATCGTTAATTAAATTTGGATCAATTTTCTTGGCTCGCTCAGGAAAAGGCGATGACGCAAAACTGTTTCATTGCATCTCGCATGGTTTCACTGTTCCAGCTCGCGCAGGATAAGGTCACCCTTCTGTCGATGACCTAATTTCTCCACTTAACCAGCTGAGAAAGTCATGGCGGTAAGTTAGAATTTCTAAACGTTTCTCACTTTGATTTATTGACAGATTTTGATGTCTTTCCCCGCAAATTTGTGTTTCTTTACGTTTCGCTCTTCAACGATGATTTTACTATTATTTCTTTGCTTTTATATTTTGGCCTAATATTAGAAATGAGATTGTTGACGGTTTCTATGTGTCATTTTAAATCTTTTGATTAATTAAAATTTAGTGCTAATTATTTATGCCTAATATTTTAAAATTTTTATTCATTCGAGCGTCAAATTTAGTTCCATTTCATGGTTTTTTGATGATTATTAGTATTATTATTTACAAATTATTCCGTCATAAAATAGTTTGGTAACTGTTTTTATTTTATATTTCCATTCATTTATTTATTTTTATTTATCGTTTGCAAAAATTTTTAATTTTAATACCTAATGTTTTAATAATTTTGTTCATTCGAACATAAGATGTAACTATATTTTATATTTACTTCATTGAATATTATTTAAATTTTAATTTACTAAGTTTCTGAACTCAGTGATAAAAATAGTTTGATAACTGTTTTTATTACTATTTTCTATATGTTCTCTATACATTCTATATGTTCTTTATATATTTTCTATATATCTCTCTTTATTTTTTGTTTTTAGGAAATTAATGTGCCGGTAATATTTGTGATTGGTAAGATTACATGTTTGAAAATAATTTTTGCATTATGCATGGAAATTGTTTCTATGATTTTGATTTGTCAGTTATATTATTAACTAAATTTATTTATTAACTTGCTGTTATTAAAAAAATAGTTTAAAGTATACATTCCCTTAATAAGTTTTAAATTTTATTTTAAGAAAATTCAATTTTTCAAAATGCTAATTATTTTAACTTTTTTCTTCCTTCACTGAGCTTTACGGAGAAAATAAATATTTGCTAACGCTCAGTGAAAAAAAGAGCATGCGTTATAAAATAACTTTTCTTTCAAATAAATGTAGCATTTAAATAATTTTAAATGTAATAAAAGTATTTAGGGTAGTATAGGATCAACACCTCACCAATATATATTATCAGTAACAGAATTACTAATAATTATAATTAATGATAGTTTCAATAATATAAAAGGTATCAATAGACGGTTTATACACGGCGTGGGTTTTTGGTGTAATTTTGAAAATTGTCGCCTATTCCAAAATGACGCATTAAAGTAACGCCTCAATTGAATTTTTTTTTATTTATTTACTTTATAAAGAAAAGGTGATTCAAATAAGAAATTGAGATATAAATAAAGTTAATATTTATTCCTGAATAAATATATTTATTTATTCTAATATTTAATAAATAAAAAAACAAATCTAGATTAATAAATTATCAATTAAAAATATAAAATGTAACCAGCCAAACCCACTCATGGTGGGCTGCCTCTCACCTGCAAGGAGAAGGTAACTTATGAAATTCTAACAACGGGGCTGAGCAAAATTTTTATATCGAATAAAAATGTACACTGGTACAACGGTTTCCATTCGAATTATGATTATTAGGCGAAACTCTTTTATTGTTTGAGATTAGGTCATATCTTTGACAATATAGCATACATAATGCATGTATGGAGATTTATATTACAGGTAGATGTATAATGAATTTCTACATTTGATTTCGAATTTAAATTTACCAAATTTGATTTTGCATCGAAATTTTCCGCATTTGATTCTCTATTAAAATTTCCAACTGTAATTTCGCATTGAAATTTTTCATTTTATTGTCCATTAAAATATTATGATTAAAAATGACATCGTTGTAAGGATAGTAAATAAAAAAACGGGGGACATGAAATTCGTTGAAAATAACCAGATATATTAACATATTATTAATGAATGTAACATATTATTAAAGAACTGCTTAGTAAAGTTAAAATAAAATGTAGCAATCTTTTTCGAGAATGTATTTTTAAATTTTTACTACAACTATAGTTTAGAAAATAATTATAGAATAAATATTTCAGATTAGACAAAAAAAATTATTGTTTCTAAAAAAAAAATCTATTTTCATTAGTTAACAAATCACCTGAAATGTTTTATTTGATAGAAGTGGGAGACAAATTGTAATAATAGGCTTTACAAGCAGTGCAGGCAAATTGCCAACATTCTTTTGTTGGATGAGCTTGTTACTTTTAAATTGGAACCTAGTTTTATTTATTTTACTAAATGGTTAAAACTAGCTTCTTGAATTTACTCAACTTGCTAAATACAGAAGCAAAATAATTTATAAATCTGTTAATATTTTACTCGTGTTGATAATGATAAATAAAACCTACTTTTAATATTGGTTTTAATTATCCAGTAGAAAAGTATTTTATTTTATTTTGGAAATTATTGTTGTATCCGTAAATAATGAATACAGTGGTAGCTTGAAGCCAACCCAGCTGCAGATTTATGAGTACCTAAATAACTGGGAAGTAAAGGCAGTCGATGCGCAAGGCTAACTACATCGTTATCAACAGGCCGGGGTTATGACTTCTGAGGTTTTAATCTCCATGCCCCTAGTTCACATTAGACTCTTCCGGGAAAACTGTCCTTTTTTCATAAAGGACGATACAAGAGTCATGGTGGCTCAGGAAATGGAGTGCTCACCTCTCAATAAGATGACCCAGGTTCGAATCCCAGCAATGACTGGTGGATACGAATTCTGCACCCGGCTCACATTGACCACAGTGCTGAAGTAAAATGCCCTCGATGGTAAACGAATCTTGGGTTAGAGTCCCCTTGCCGCCAGGTAAACCGTGGGAGGTTTTCGTGATTCTCGTCTCCATGTAACGCCGAATGCGAGTTAGTTCTAACAAAGAGTCCTCTACGAAGGCAAAATTTTTCTCAATACTTGATCTAGGAGTTCCCTTGTCTTCCGGGTTGGGTTCAAAATAACAAGGCTATGGAGTTGAACATTGGTAGACGTACACTCAAATTCTCATTGGCTGTTCATTGACAGTCATAAAATACAAAATAAAATGGATACTATTTTTTCTTGTGCTAATCGTTCAAGATTAATCTGTCAGAGATTAATATGACCAGAACTAAAGTGCAAATAAAAACCGCTTTTTGTTAAATTCTGATATAGTGGAGAAAATAAGGAAAGAAAACTAAACGTTTTTAAATAAACAATGATTTATATATTTGAAACAACACAAAACACTATCCATAAATAATAGGATTTTCTTGTTTCGTAACCATAGTAACGCGAGTTCAGTATTCTAAGTAGTATTTGCATAGACTTGTTTTTTCGAAATCTTTATGTCACTATCGATCTTATCTAACACATATATCTCGAAATATAAAATTAAATTTCACGCTAACTTAAATTTTTTCGAAGATTACCATCAATATCATCGTATCTTCCTTTTCTTTTCTAACTAATGCTCTTAGCATTTTTAATGTTTTCCATTATTTAAAAATGATCTTAGAGGAAGAAAAAAACACCCAGAGTAAAAAATATTTGTGTAAATTAAATCTTTTCATCTTTTCGAAAACTCTTAATTTTTTTTTGTTTAAAATAAAATGTACATCTCTTTCATTTATTTTACTGTACGGAAATCTGCTGTAAATAAAGAAACAAATAGTTTCAAGTTATTTGAAAATTTTTTTAATTTTATAGAATTAATGTTCTGATTTCTCATGTGCTTATTTTTATTATTTATGCAATATTTCATTGATTTCCGAATCTGTAACAACAAAACATATCTTTCAGGATAAAATGAATTTAAAAAAGCATGATTTGTGTTATTAAAGTAAAAAATTGTACCAAAAATTGTCAGAAAATATTAAGTTAAATGTATGCAAATAATTATATCTTTCTCTATAAATGGTTGGTCATTAAGTCTCTAAGGGGTTTATATGCGATAATAGCAGCTAATTAAAAAAAAATACAAAATTGTTGTACCGAATTCATAAAATTACTATGTTGTTGAAATTATTCAAATTTTTAAAATTTTATTTCCTTTCGTCTTTAGTGTTTGTTTATAAGTGAGGCTAACTTCACAGTGGACAAAATATTAATGCAAAATTAATAAATATGTTAAAATAATTGATCAAAATAACCTTGTTTGTTTGAAGTAAAAAGCCCCCGTTAAAACGTAGAAAATACAGCTATAAATCAGCAAGTGCAAGAATTTAAAGTAAAAACTATTAATTAGTAATCTGGTATTCTAAGTTTTACAACTGAATTTAATTTGAGTTGCTGGCAAAAATTATGTAAAATTTTTGCAATATTCAATTTATTTTTTACGCTTCCTTGACTTCATAGCAAAACATTTTCGAAGCTATGTTTACATCTTTGTTGCCTTGATATTTTCTCGTAGCTTTGAAAATCGTGAACTATAAAAATACTTCTATTTCTAAATGTAAGGTCCATTGTTTTTGTTCATTGCAAGCCTTTTAATTTATGCTCGTGTTTTTTAGAACCGTGTGAGACTAGACTTAAGGTTACGTCTCGAACTTTTTCTAAATTGATTTTATACAACTTAAAGATCCACGATTTATTATTTCCTAAACAGAAAATAGCTCTAGTCAAATTTTAAGGATTTTTTAAAATTATATCTGGAGAATCATAAATAAGCATAAACTGGGTAAGAAACGCTTTCTATTCATGAAACCTTGTTTTGATCATTTAATCAATGTTTTAATTAATAATAATGAAATAGTTTTAAGTATATTTTTTAATTTTTTATTTTAAATAGTTCAAGAACTCTTAGTCATTTAAAATCTTTGAATTTTAGCTTGTCGTTATTAAATAACAAACTTATACTTAATTAAAATAAGTATTTAATAGGATCTAATAATAAAGAAAAAACCCATATGCGACCAGTATTAACATATGGGAGTGTGTGCTGGGCTCTCACTAAATCAGAAGAGAGCAAATTGATGGGGTTTGTGAGGAAAAAGATTAGAATAATNAACATGAAACCTTGTTTTGATCATTTAATCAATGTTTTAATTAATAATAATGAAGTAGTTTTAAGTATATTTTTTGATTTTTCATTATAAATAGTTCTGGAACTCTTACTCATTTAAAATCTTTGAATTTTAGCTTGTCGTTATTAAATAACAAACTTATACTTAATTAAAATAAGTATTTAATAGGATCTAATAATTAAAAAAAAAAAACCATATACGACCAGTACTAGAGCAAATTGATGGGGTTTCTGAGGAAAAAGATTCGAATAATTTTTGGTGCTGTCAACGAAAAGAACAGGTGGCTCATCTTTTACGATTTCGAGATTTACAAGAAATTCTTTAAACAACCAAATATCGTCCATATCATTAAATCTAATCGCATTAGATGATTTAACCCGTAAGCGAGGCCCTTAGCTGCCAAGACAGCGCTGAAAAATATCTCCAAGTGATTGGTTCTGGAAGATGGTGGACAATGTTGACTAACAGGGCAAGATGACAAAAACTTATTGAGACTGACTTGGCTTATCTCGGACTCTAGTGCCGAAAAAGAAGAAGAAAACTCATGATTACAAATGTAATGAAAGATGAAAGGTGCACAGTCTGATTACTCTCAATTAAGCTGTAACATTTATTGACATAAAATGCTGTATTGAAAATCATATGGATGGGACCGTTTACAGATACATGTAGTGTCTAAATTAGATGTCAGAGTTTCTTTTTCATAAATTGTACGAGTTTTTAAAAAGGTTTAATTGCCTCATGGTAAAATATTCTTAATTTTGTACCGAAAGATAGCGTATTAAAGGTGGATAAAAGAGTCCATCATATAGTGTGCTTCTGTCCTAGTGATCTCCCTACCTTTTCCGCTTTGTTTTTGCGTCAGACTTGATTTATAATATCATTCGGTTTTTAATAGAGATGAGACAGGCATATGAACCCGAACCGCTTTATTGGTTATTTTGATTCCTTGGTCTCACAGTTTTTCTCGACAGCGCTTTCTGTTAACAGACTTAGTAGACCTGAAAAAAATTACTAGACATTCGAAAATGAAGTAATACATGAAATAAACCACCGGTCACTTTTCCAATCGTTTTTTTTTAAATTTTTTTTTATTGTTTAATGATAAAAATACATCAATGCAGAAACACTCTTGAAAACAGAATTCTCATTAAAATGCCCAATGTCTCCCTTCAAAATTTTGATCTTTCAGAATCAATCAATTTTCGATGGAAAGATTCATGTGGAATTAACATATTTCAAAGTTGTAATGTATACATTGAATTATTTTGTCTTCGTAAATATTTTTAAATAGAGTTCTTTAAACTAAGTATTGTTCAACTAAATTTTATCATAGATTTATATTATTTGTATTGTTGAATTAACTTTTTAAAGCCGTAGATTTTTTCTGATATTTTTTTAAAAAAATATAATTTAACCCAAGCTAAAAAATGGTTTGCAAAAAGTAGCTATTAAATATAAAAAGGATCTATCATTATCGGTCACCAACTCATTAGGTTTTGGGAAAAAGTAGCCACTAAGTTATAAGAGTCTACCGGCCATTGGCTACTACCTAAAAATTCAAATGTTCAGTTCTAAGATTTTGTAACTAATTTAGAGAAAAAGCTGTAAACCGTATATTTCTATTCCTTTTTATTTCTTTTAAAACATTTTTCACATCGTCAACGACTTCTAAGATACTCTGTGCCCAACAATAAATGATGAAAGTTGCAAACCATGACCTTTAATTGCTATTAGTGATTTATTCTATTGCGTATTATTCAGTCGAAATTCAATTGTCTTTTTATTATCAATGGGAAATTCTTTTTTTAGGTGGTCCGGGATCTGGTAAAGGAACACAGTGTGAAAAAATAGTCGAGAAATATGGTTTTACTCACCTCTCAACGGGAGACTTGCTTCGCGCAGAATGTGCTTCTGGATCAGATCGTGGAACCAAATTAGCGGATACCATGAAAAAAGGACAACTAGTCTCAAATGTAAATATTTAATTATTTTATGTAATGAGTAGAGACGAGACAGACTTGGGTTTGTTTACTGAAAAAAGGTTTCGGTCTCGAACTCTATGTAAAATTTTCATGAACTTTTATAAAACTACAGCGATCTGCTACTTCTGCTCGGGGTTGAAACTATTTGTTGAATAACTTTTATTTAGCTTAAGATTTTGATTTTAGTTTTTGTTTTAGTCATCTTGTAGTTTCTGTTAAAAAACTAATTTAAAAAGAAACTGATGAGAGTAGAAATGTACCGTTTACCACATGCTGCATTGGAAACTTGGTTTTCCTTCTCACCAAGTTACCAATTTAATAACCAGTTTCAGCAACAGATGGCGCGGTTAACAAATGAAAACTGTAGAACATTATTTTCAAAATAAATACCTGATCAAGTCTGAGGTAATTCATTGGTATCTGGTGAAAATATTTCAGTTGAAATGGTCTGACGTGATGCAGAAAACGTTTTATAGGTTTTCCTGCCATCTTCTGACAAATTTTGTAACTAATTTAAATTTTTGTTTAAAAAATCTGGTTTCCTCGGTGATACAGCTTACTGAAAATTTAAATCTCTTTTTATCTTTCTATAATTAATTTTTTCAAATCCTCAATTATTTTTGGGACACCCATTCAAAACTACTTTTTCTAACTTGTGATAAATTTTCTCTACAGTGATTTAGCTAGAACAACTTTTGTTGGATTCGAAACTATTTTTTATCATTACTTCAGTGAAGTTACTGAGAGGAGAAAGCAGCGTTTTCTTCCTCAAATAGCAATTTTTTATAAATTTATTATTCCAAAACTTTCAGGTTAAAATACATTCAGGATCCAATGAATGAAATACTTAGCATTTTATTTTTCGATAAATCGAAAATGGGAGAAGTTATCAGCTATCAGTTTCTATCAGTAGTTTATAGGTTCAAATTTCAAGGAGTATTTTGGCAATTTGTATAGTTAGAAGATATATTTTGCTTAAGTACAAAACTTTTTTAAAAAAAGAGAAAGAAAAAAAAAACTAACAAAGAGCTTTTTACTATCTTAGAATTTTAAGTAATATATGTTCATCACGCCGATAAACAATAAATTTCTCCGACGTCACCAAATTTAAGAAATTATAAATCTGCAGCATAAAAGATTTAAATTATCATTCATAAATGTTTGTATATTTTATATTAATATATGCTATAGCAGTGGTTACCAACTGGCGAGCATTTTTTGCGGACAATTTTCGTAAAAAATCTATATGTGTTTAAAATATTTTTCTTTCGTTAAAAAAAAACCTAATTTCTTCGTTTCTGTGAAATTTAACATACAAACGGAGAAAAAAAATTATTTCTCAGGTAAAAAATTTACTTCTTCTTTCAATTTGTAATTCAATACTTTTGTTTTGTACAACTTGATAAAAGTCTGACAATAATATTTAATGTTTTTTCATACATAAAAGAGTGCTATATAAAATTTTGATAAAGTTTCGGCCAGCCATTTGACTGGTGTTTCTAATTGTGGCCTCCGGCCTCATGTAAGTTGAAAACCCCTGTGCTATAATATTTCTTCAACTGTTCTATGCTTTTAAATAGAAAAAAATAAAAAAGATTACAATGAATTTACTATGCTATTAACGTTTTCTGTAAATTAATGTACATCTTAAAATAGTCTTTTATTTATTATTACATAACTATTAAATTGCTTTCATTAATAACATTGGTTATTTAAAATATTAAATTATTAATTCATGGAAAAAATAATTTTTATGAAATGTAAACATATACTTTTCTGATGCATGACATTTCAAAATGAACATATGGCAATGCCTTTTAATAGTTCATTTCTTATTACTTAAACTACATTATACTTTTTTTAAAAAAAAATCATAATTATACTACAATTGTGTTCAATTTATACATAGCTATCTGCCCTCAAAAACCTTTGACGCTGAATTTTTATTAAACGTATTTTTCATACTCTTTTCATTGTTTTGTTTTAATTTTGAATAAAATAAGTGAAAAATATTATAGTTAACGTTTTAATATATTATGGTTAAGATGAAATGCAACATGAAACTCCGGTGTCTTTTTCTGCGTTAAAGGCAAAATCTTCCAAACAATAATAATTATTCAAATTTGCACTTTTTTGGAGCTAAGAGAAACAATTATCTATCATTGAAATTTCTTTAATTTACAAAACCAATTACTGATAAGTTTGTGACTATGAATGAAAAAAAAAATTCAGACTACTTTTTTTGGATTTTATATTTCAGTACAAATATAATTCCGATAATATAACAGATTTTTTTAGTTACTGTAGTCCGTGGATCGAGATTCAGACAGAAAGTAAAGTTTATTAACAAAAAGCATATTAACAAAAAGCAAACAAACACATACAAATTTAAAAAGAACGCCATCTGGCGGTGTAAAGAGAAAAAGACTTCGTAGCTATCCTTCCCAGGGAATGACAACAGTTACTATTAGACTGTTGTTTTTATATCGAAATATATGACGCTCTAATTACAAGCAAAAATACCAAAATAAATTTTTACTTGTAACTCGAAATTAAAAAAAATCTTAAAGAAACACCGGTGTTCCATCGCGTCAAAGAAATAAACTATATAATTTTACTGTAATTGATGTTCCTTAAAAAATACAACTTTTTTGAATTGAAGGCGTCGCATATAAAAATGTTTATCACATTCCAAATGTGCCGTCGATTTTGCTTGAAAATGATTTTTTAAGCAGCGGCAGAAGTTACCATATTCATCGTGATGCAGTTTCTGTAAAATTCGTGAATCAACCATTACTTATCAAAGAATATAATTGACTCGAATAAATTATTCTCCCCTTGTTATTCTACGCTTCTTTTCTATTCAGAAGAAACCATCCATTAAAAGTATTTTCTATTTTTAAATTAAGTTATGAAAAATGAACCACAGACACGCCAATTTCAATGATTACAACTTCTCTTCATTGTAGATAAAGTAATTTATTCTTGTGAGTCGTGTCTTACAACTTTTAGCTATCAAATTGCTAGAAAAGAAATACACTAACTAAATAATAAAATAGAATGAATTGTGCAATTACATTAACGGCCATTAAATAGCCTTTTATTTTGAGTGATGGTTGAGAAATTTAATGGTGAATCGATGTTTTTGATAACTACACTGTGCCTAAAATATTATCCTTTCATTTTATTGAAGTGAAACTTTGTATCACTTTATTTTAAAGCATCCGATCAGTTAACGCAAACTTTAACTGATCGGACAAGAAAGGCTTATCGTTTAATCTTTTTTCAAGAAATTATGAACTTAGACGTTTTGTTATCGACTTTAAGCTAGCGTGCAAAATTCAACTTGGTGTCCCCTGACCATTAATATTTTAGTATAATTCAGACAAAAGAGATCTCTCTCCTGGCACAGATATCTCAAAAAAAATTATTGTTAATCGATTTTTTTTAAAACTCTATAAGGAAACTAAAATTAATCTTGTAATGCATGGTCTGTTTATTTCAAAATCAATTTTTTAAACGGGGGATTACTTGATTGTTAAAACGTTGAATTACTTCTTGAAATGACTCGAGTGAGAAAAAAAATTAACATATACAGTACTGGTTAAAAGTTTAAACTCACTTTTGAATCTTTAAGAATAGATAAATAACAAGATTTTTAAACTAGAAATCACAGCATTATTGTATATCATGTTTCTGGTGTGATTTTTCACGCTGAATTTGATGAAACCATTTCCGAGACTTGGTTTCATTTCAGACTAAGCATTTTATGTGCTAAAAGTAAAATTTTGATTTTGCACTTATTTAGCACTTTATTACCTCTTACATTGCTACATAGACAAGTACTGTATTGGTTTCTTTTGCATTTTTATCGTTTAATCGAATGAGACAAAACACGAATCAAAAAGTTAAAAATCAAAAAATGAAAAAAAAATTTTTTTCTTCTTTATATAAAATTTTATATTTTTGAATAGCGCTCCTCACAAAAAAAAAACCCTTATAACTGTAAAACTATTTATCATATTAAGTCAAATTTTACATCATTCAATTTAGTATTAAAAATTTCATTGGAAAATGTACCTCACATGTTCAGATAGCCCCTAAATTAAACTCATTAGAGCGACAACCCATAAAGGGCCAAAACCTTCTGTGCCCATTTCAGTTTTCTTGACCTTGGTCCCTGGGGGTGCCGGAGCAGATGTTCCGGTTAGGTGGTCTGCTAAACTCGGATCCCCCAGTGTTTTGTTTCCAAGCATGCTTGGTACTCATTTTATCGACCCACTGAAGGGATGAAAGGCTGAGTCAAACTTGCTCAGCCCTAGGATCGAACCAACACCTCCTAGAAAGAACAGGCCTCAGCACGGGTTACCATAAATATCCCTTAGTAGTCCAAACGTAATGACATATTTTGTATTTTCAACCACTGCGCAGCTTAGTACCCCTAACGCAATGACTTCTTTCTTATTTTGCGTCTACTGCGCAGTTAACTTCGTCACATTGGACTACTAAATTGATCCGTGCTGAGGCCTTTCTACTTCTAGGAGGTGTTGATCGAACCCAGGATCTATGGCGCGAGAGTGCGAAGCGCTACCATTCAGCACCTAGATAGCAAAATGAAAAGTGTATTTAGTCATGTCAAAAATAGTATTTTTAATACATGAAAACCTTTGCAATTTTTGAACTGTTTGTTCGATTGACGATTGATTTGTTCGATTGATTTGTTTGTATAGCCTCATTAAATTCATCGTAAGAAATTGCATCGAAAACAATGCCTAACGTCTTCATTTTTACCCATCAAATCCCCCCCCCCAAATCCAAAAAAGAGGGTAATAAAGCCTGCTGTGGAAAGTGGGGAATTTTCAGGCATCGTTTAGCCTTTCGTCAACAAATATCTCAGGTATTTTTCAAAGAAATATCCATTTTCTTTGCTATAATTACTGGACTAACTCATACTCTTTTTCTAAAAGAAATTACGTTTAAATTAAAATTCATACAACTTGCAAACAAAGTTATATCTTTTATTCGAAAAAAAACCGTATTGATACATTCTTTTTACACAAAAGCATACGTCAAGAAAATCATTATAAAATAAAAACTAAATTTAAAAAATACGTTTTCGAAGTGAATTAAAAAAACAGTAAATAATTATATTTTTGTTACACCTAAAATTACAAGCTTAGGATGCATCATTTACAAAAAAACATACGGGAGACTTTTAGATAGAAATCGAAGTTGATTTCATAACTGTACAAGTTTCTCATGTCGGGTTTTGACAAAAATAAAATTATTTCCTTCGCATTTGCTTTGTTGAAAAATGTGATTTTTAAAAAACTTTTAGTTTAGTTTTGAGAATGTAATTTTATTGTACATTGGAAAGAGAAGGGAAAAAAACCCGATTAATTATAAATTTCGCTTGTACCAATAAAGAGTAAGATATAAGAATTTGTGCTGCACAGAGCTTTAGTCAACATTTAAGCACCTTATTTAGGGAAAAATGGTGAAAATTGAGATTGCAAGATTTGCCCTCACAAAACAGACTGGCATAAAAGCAAGTAACAAAGTTGCGTAGCATAATAGTTTAATAAATATCGTAATTGTATTGTTTGTATTAAATATTTAGTAACTTCTAATGAAAAAAAAATATATATTGGGAATCTCGTTAAGGAATATAAATTTACAAAACATTTTAGGATCAAGTGCTGACTTTACTAAAGGAAGCTATACAGAAAAATCTTGCGAATTCTCATGGTTTTCTCATAGATGGTTATCCAAGAGAAGCTGGCCAAGCTGTAGAATTTGAAAACCAGGTGAGCATTTCGAAAATTGAAATACTACACATTGAACTGAAATGTACGTATGTGTTCTGTGAGGAAATTGAGTTGCTTCTCCATTTGGCTGCCGCCGCTGATAAAGTCACCAACGCAAAATCCCCGGACGCAAAAAATTAAACTGTTTTTTTTCCCCTAAAAGGTGTATGTTGGTTATTTTTTGAAATTAAATAAATAAATAAAACAACTGAATTTAATTGCTCCGGCAAAATGGAAAAGTACCGACATGCATTTTAGGTTATAAATGTATGAGTTTTCTTTAGAAAATTCCCGAATTTTTTCTAAATTTCTACAAAATATATAACTGAAAAAGTGAAGAAAAAAATTTTCTTATTATTATAGATTAAAAAAATTATAATTACAATTTTATAATCTGTTATCTTTAATCGGTTATTACTAAAACAATTCTAGATCATAAGTTTTCTTACCGTAGAACGTAGAACAGAAAATATGTTTATCGCATTAGTATTAAGTTATGTTTGGTAAAAACTTATTAATTATAACTAATATCAAATTATTTTTTATTAATGGTATACAGTATATATAATGCAAAAAAAGTGAACATCCTGAATAACTTTAATCTAATGATCGGATTTTTACGTACCAGGACTCATTTTGAATAGTTCAAGGACCTTATTTTGAATATGCTAATCAGTTAGTGCAGACAATTTTAAGCAATGAAATCAGATGCAAAAATACATTTTATATGAATTAACATACCTTTTTATCGACAGATTCTGATTCTTGTTCCTTAAAATATTCTAGGCAGCGCAATCTAAAAATTTTCCCAATTGTTGAGACATGTGAGCAGTCGAAAGTTTCTACCCTTTCATGTTAAATTTATTATCTGTGCATTCCGCCATATTTCGTGAACTTTTAAAGCAAATCGAAATATTTTTGTACACAAATCCAAAGATAATTTTTACACGCTGTATATAATTTGGAATGATTATTATTTAAAAAAAAAAAAGATAATCGAAACATTTTGAATTGTAAGGTATACAAATTTTATATCATTTAAAAAAATATACTTTTAAAGGGCAAAATACAAAATTGGAAATAAATAGGTCGAATAGTTTCTGAGTTATTTTTTTAAAAATAGTCGCATAGTTAGAATTTTATTTCTCGAGAGCTAATTGACCGATTTTGTATTTTGCTATTTAAAATTACATAAAATCACTAAGGATAAAGAAAGAAATGTTTTGCAAAAGTCTGAATGTCTTTATGATCGATTGTTTTTGCTTTTAAAATTTTTTATAATGGACTTGGCTAATTAGAAAGGATTTAATTTGAAACTTAATTCTTTAGATATTAGAGGATATTAAACTTCGAAACCGTAATATATTGCATAATAATGTAGTGTTGTTATACCCTCCACAGATATGCAAATGTTCCTTCTTGCTGTATTTTGATGTTCCGGACGATGTTATGATAGAGAGGTTACTAAACAGAGGTAAAACAAGTGGAAGAGCCGACGACAATGCAGAAACAATAGCTAAAAGGTTGGAGACTTTTCACAAGTTCACTCAGCCTATTCTAGACTACTATGGAGACAAAGTTAAGAAAGTTAGTTTTCTTTTAAATATTTTTGGTTACATTGAGATTTTAGTTGTATCTTACTACACTGAGCAGCCACTTTATAAAGACCTTAAATCAGTATCTAGTTTTGGCCACCTTTCATCCAGTCTTGGTTTTTTCCCCGGCATGGCTACTACTAGGTTCACATGCTTAAGGAATATGTTGATATGTGAGACTGAATGGTTAAATCTTTTAACTTCATCTGACAATTGCTCTATAGGGGAACGGTGGTACAAGAGATAGAGCACTCGCCTCCCAATGAGGTGAGCCGAATTCGAAATACAGCGACTGCTTATGGATACGAACTCTGCATTCGGCTAGCACCGACCACAGTTCTGTTGTAAAATATCATCAGTGGTATATGGATCATGAGATAGAGGCCCCTAACATTTGGGCTGACCGGTGAAGTTTTCGTGGTTTCCCTCTCCATGTAACGCAAATGCTGTTTCATCAAAAAGCTCTCGACGAAGGCAAATTTCTATCATTCTATCAAAATAATCATTGCTTAAGCAAAAAGTAAGGGAAAAAAACTCACGAACTTTTAATTGCAATAACTTCTAAACAAATAAAAATTTTGTCCAAAAAAATGTGTAAAATTTAGAGAAAAAGGGGGGTAAAATATTAAGCAGAGCGCATGCTTAATATTTTACCCCCCTGCAGGTTTAAAAGTCAATCATTCTCGACACGTTCATTATTTAAAGTTTCTAAGTTTTATAGCTATTCTAAGTTATACACGAAACAAAATGTAACGTAAAGTTGAACCCAAATTAGAGGTGTCGTTAATATTTTTTCATATCGAAAAACATTGTTTCTAGCGTCAGCACTGATTTGAAAGCTTTTTTTCATAAAATTGTCTAGGGTATTAAAGTTTAGTATAAAAAATTTTTCGATGTTTAAATAGTAAACACATTAAGTTTTCATTAAGGTCCCTTGTTTCATCTGTTTCTAAATTATTTTTCTACATCATTTATCCTAAGAGAGAGAAAATAAAGTAGGTAGTTATCTGATTGTGGGGGTCATAAAAAATCTGCCAAAAAATTACTGGCGGCAGTAGTACTTGTTTAATTGTGCTAATATGTACTGAGTGCAGTGGTAACAGTAATAGTACTTAATATACTATGGGTAAGAGGTTTTTCAAAGCCCCCTTAAGCAGATTAGTACCGAAAAATCTTTTTATTTTCTTATACTTAAGAAGAAAAAAATGTTTTTTGCATAATCAATAGGACATCTATTGGAATTAATTCTTTGACTCAGAAATCCTCTGGATATTGGGAAAGTTGAAAATTTAATTTTTAAATTTTTTTTTCACTGGGGATTATTTTTTACCAATTATTTTTCACAACAAGTAGGACAGCAATTTACTTACTTGGAAAATTGCTAAATCCATTGCCATTGTGTGGGAAATGTAAATTTAAAATAATGCAGTGATTTTAAGGAATTTCAATGTCCATTAATTATTTATTATTTTTTCAGATACTCGCTACTGGAACAGTGGATGAAATTTTTGCTCAAGTCACTAAAGTGATCGACAGCTGCAAATGCTGAAATGTGATTTCTTCAACTCATTCCATTTTCCCACTAGAAACTTTTTAACATCACCCACCATGGTTTTCCATCACTCATTCATTATCCTAACATGGATTCCTCTTCTACCTCTTTTGAAAACAAATTAAGGCAAAAAATAAATATATGTCCGGAATTCCGTGCTATGAAGAATTTTAGACCAGCAATTGTTCAAGAAATAATTTTTGTGTTTAAAATGTGTGAAAACTGCAAAGCAATAAATATAGCTTTACGTGGATCAAAATTTTAAGCAAGAAATTAGTGCCGGGTAAGGATACAAAAAATTCACTAAGCTTATGAATATGCTTATGGTGCTGAATTTATAATATTTTCAAATGCTATTTTTACAATCTGTTTGTGATTGTGAATTGTTTGTCATTATTTTTTCAAAATCTCTGAAACTTTGAACTAAGTATTGACATTCTAGTTTGCTTTTAGTTTAAATTAAAAAAATTTGTATTGTTGAATGGGTTTTGATATTTGTTTTTCAATACTTACCAAAGTTTCTTAATTTTTTAAAAAAAGTTTTGTTTTAAATTTAAAGTAACTCTAAGTAAAGACATTTTATTTTCTACAGAGCAGCGATTATCACAACATCATCTACAATATAAAAAATTTGATATTTGGCATTATCATCTGCGAATAAAAATTTTTCAAAATCAAACAGAGAAACATGTTAAATCCAGGGAAGAAAAATAACTGTTCTCTATTATGTTTTACACTTAGTGCTTAAATAAATCTAAGAGGTTTTTTTGCTCCATTTTTCAAATAAATATGTAATGTAATAGACAAATTTCGTGATAATTAATGATATTTCATAAGTCAGATTTCAAAACTTCATTATATTTATAAAGATTATGAGCTTATGCGTAATAATAAAGTTCAGTTACTTTTTTCTTCCTATCTTATAATACATCTTAGAGAACTTATATATTTCTATAGTTAGCAAAGCAATAAATATGCACAGTTATAGTTTAACAACTTCAATTAAGAAAATTATAATAATTATTTGCAGACAAAAAGTTTAAAACACCAATGTAAATTCCTTTGTTGATGTTAATGTATAAAACATATCGACGAACTAATAGGGTGCGTAAAGACATATCTAAATTGGTTTAAATTTTTAAATCAATAATTTTCATAAATTAATTTTAAATTAATAATATACAGTTTTGATTGCTAATTCAATATTTTCTGGTCTTTTATTATCTAACAATCGATATATATGAGTAAATTTAACATTTATTATACCTATATATAACTCTATATTACTTAATTTCACTACAGTTTCACAAATTTATCATTTACCATTTCATTAACTACTTATATAAAAGAAAATTCAATTTTTATTAAATAAATTCAAGTTAATTTATTAATAACTTTATTTTTCATTAATAATGCCTAGTTTTGATTAATAATATAATTCAATATTTTCTGGTCTTTTAAACACTATTTAAATCTAACAATTGACATATAAGAGTCAATTTAACCTTTATTTTATAATTTTTTCTCATAGATTCAAAAACTGTGCTTAACTATTTCATTAATCAAATTTGGCTAATAAATTACCCAATATTTTGTTAGTCCACTTAAATAGATTAGTAAAATATATTTATGTACTGTCACATTATAGAGATCAAATTAAAATATTACAATTCTTGACAGGCTAATTTTAAATGCCATGCAACAAATAGATAATCCAAATTAAGTTTGTAATTTCTAATAATGTTTTGTTTGAGTTATTCTAATATTGATCAAAACCGAAAAAAATCTTATTTTGCCACACTTCCAAAATTTTATGTAAAATGATTTTAAGGCTTGAATCAAAATAATAAGCAAATTAATTCAGGCTTCTAAAAACATGATAAGAAACAATTTAATATAAAAATGTCACCTTAGGGAAAAATGTGGTGTTTCACTGAAATGTCAAAAACACTTAAATTCAAATAAAATAAATATCTTTAAGTCAAACATAATTTTTAAAATAACTTTTGACAGAATGTATTGATCATAATTATTCTTGAAGATAACTAATTTGTAAACAAAACTTAGCAAGTTATTTTAACAAAATAATTACTAACTAAAATTATTTTTTAATTTCTTTAAAAATTGAGCTTAAAATTTACTGTCACTAAATCATCCATTTAATTGTTTTAAACTTTTTGATAAAAAGTTTCAAATTTACTCTGAACCATAATGAATGAAAAAGGGTTCAGAGCATAGAGCACCATGATTTTTTCTTAAATTGAACACTGCAAATATTCAAAAGTTAGAAATCAGAATTAAAATTACTTGTAGAGTAAATTTCAATTAATAAAAAGAAACACCTCAATGTAAAATCTTAAAAATTTGTCCTTTGATTTAAAATATTAAAATGAAGAATATTTTATATTTTAATGATTATCTCTTTCTTGACTTTAAACTGATTTCATTTATAAACATTATTCAGATGATTTTTTGCACTCATTAATTAGGAATTTTCCCAATTGATTTATACAATAAGAAGTTAGTAATAAAATAATTTTATTTTATTTAAAACTTCCAACTCAGCATTACAAAATAAACTTTTTTATTGAGCATTTAAAAATATTTTTAATATAATTAAAGCTATTTTCACTAAATTACACATTTGACTGTTCTTCAAAATTTTTTTTAATGTGTTAACTGAATCTTACCTCATTTATAAAATTTAAATTCTTGTTAGCCTACTAAACAAAAGTGTACTAATTATCAAGTTTCAAATAAATTAAAAATATTTCAAACTTTTTTTATACTTTCAAACAAGCTAAAGTCACTTTAAAAATAAAATATAAATTAAAAAATAACAAATTAGAAAAATTTCAAATCAATAAAAACTACATTATGAGAGAAATATGTTTATTAAAAAAAACTTACTTTTACACACAAATCCAGATAAAAAAAAATGTGATTTTTATCAAATCCAAATGAAAACAAAGTTCAGTACTCATGAACACAAATGAAAAAATATAAAAATGTCCATCAATAGTTCAAGCTTTGGTCGGTGATTCTGAATTTTCTATAGCTTTATCATCACTCATCTTGACCACTGGTACAGTTCTTTCATTTTGAGAATCTTGGATAGCCTTCATGGGAGCTTCCACCGTAAGCTGCCCAGAAGCATCCAATCGGGATGTTATGGTATCAGGATCCACACCATCCGGTAAAGAAAAGCATCGGTACATCTCGTGGAATTCATAACAATCATCATTTTTGCTCTCATGTTTGGCAGAAATGGCCAGTTGATCTTTGATGACTTTCACAGTTATTTCCTCAGGCTGATAATGCGATGTATCAAGAGCAATTTGGAATTTATCATCTTTTTGGAGCAACTTTACTTTAGATTTAGGTTCATAGCTCGTAAGGGAATCATCAGCTTTTCGTTTTTTGGATGATGATGATTTCTCACGTTTGTCAAACTCTTTCATCAGAACATGCAAAGCGTCAGGCAAACGACGATATATGTATCCAACTTTTTGATCCATATCTTCCTCCATAAAGTCAAGAAATCGACGCATGATTGGTGTAGCATTTCTTCTTCGTGGATTTCCATTACTTACGACTCGCAATGGAAAATCATCGAACAAGTTAAAAAGTGACAGCTCCATATTTCGCTTACTTCACAAAAATATGAAAATTCAACACTGGAAACAGGTAGCAGTAATTTAGCAGCAACAGCTTAGTTCGCAGAGAAAAAGTTCTCAAACTCAATAAAATTTGAAACACTCAATAGCAACAAATATATATCGTCAGTCAATGATGATAATTCGATGGAAAGATGACTCCGTATTTATAGTTCTGGGGAAAATTTCTAGAAATATCTAGTTTGCACCAGAGATTTCTAGTAGATGGCAGCACATTCGGCGTTAGGCCAGAACTTTCTAGTTGTTTTCCGCGTCTTGTAAATTTAACAACAGATGGCGACACTACTACTTACTAAAAAAAATATAGTATTTACATTTAATAAAATATTAAACTATTCATATACGATTTTAATTTTCTTCTTTGATCTGTTGGATTTAATTAAATGTCAATAACTCTTAATAGAAATAAAATTAAAATAACCTATGATTTGCTTTTGCATTTTTTTTTAATGTTTTCTGTCGAAAAGTTTTATCGTAATTTAATTACAATTTTTTCTGACTGAAAATTTTATTCCAATTCTTGCATTTATAATTATACTAATTTCAATATCATATATAATTGTTCTGAAGTTAATATTAATGGAAGTTCCGTTATTTCGGTTTACGAAAATTTTAATTGCATGGGCCACAAGTGCAGGAATCACGACAATAATAAAATAAATAATTTTGCCAATAATTGCATGTACAATAAAATAAATAATCCGAACAGCCAAATATAAAATGAATATTATTAAATTTGAAACATGAAAAATAAACAATAATCTCGTGTTACAGGAAAGCTTATTTCTAAATGATCGTTAAGCCTAATTGATTGTGAAAAATAAGTTCCAATTCTAAACAAATATATCATTTGCAAAATATTTTTTTTTTAAATTTTAAAACGTAAGTATTAATATTGCAGTAAAAAAAATAATAATTTAAACTATTGATGTTAAATAGCAAAATTGAACAAATTAAAAACTGTTCAAAGAATAATTTAATATCTTTTTGTATGCAAATTTTTTAATAATAGTGTGCTAGCTCTAAATTTAATCCCGTATCTTAAGCACACAGAGAAAAAAAAAAAGGAAGAGATTTCGTACGGGAATTAACGTTACTAATTCTGATGATTGCTTATCTTTATAACAAAGATATTTTTGCTTAAGTAAAAGGGGTGCTTAGAGGAAAAACTATTCAGATTTGCATGGAGAATTAAATTTTTGCGTGTTAACGTAACTCATTAACTTTAACGTGTTAACTTTAGTGTGTTACTTAATTGCATAGACTTTAACGTAACTCATTTTTTTCTCCTAACATTAATTAAATAGTAATAGATGTTTATTTTCAATCTGATGTCCTTATGCAGTAGGTATTGGAGGGAAAAAATATCAATCTAAAATTATGTCTGCATTTATAATTTTTAGAAAATAATCCAGCATATTAACTGTAAGCATAATCTATAATTTTCAAAAATTAACCATCATCTAATTTTGTGGATTAAAAAATTTTTTTTTGTAAGAAATTGTATAATTTAATGAATGTTGAGTATTCGCAAATAATTTATAATAATTAGTATAAATATTTTGCATGTGTGTTCTCCCAATTTCTGAATTTTTGAAAATTTCTCAATACATTTTATCTTTTACTAAATCAGAGTCAGAAATATACGCCTGTACTTAAATGCGTCTATTAACATATTTACAATTCTGCAGTGAAAGTAGCTTAGTGTATGATAAGGGTTTCATTAAATTTTTGTAATATGTTTTAACGTTTTGGTAAAATATTAAAATTATGTGTATTAACTTCATTTGTTCTTGATATTATGATTGCATTAACATTGCTTGTTTTATACGTAATTAAGTAGGCAAATTAAAGAGCATGCACTAGCCAATGACACTAAGTATTTCAGATAACTTTTTGTGAATAATAATGTTCTGCATTTACACCACCATTACTTATTCGTGCAATACAACCAACGAGAAATGTAAAACAACTCCCAATGCTTATTCGGTTTTAATACTTCTTTAATGATATCTAAGACATACTTCTTTAATAATACTTAATGCTTCTGATATATAATTAAAATAAAAGATCTTAATGTTGATATAATGTTATAATCGCTACATTCATATGTTTTCATTCGAAAAAGATATTTGGGTACGTAAAAGTTTCATCTGGGAATGCATTTCGTAGGCTAGCAAACGCTGTAAAGTTTACAAAAAGATTTTTCCAATCCTGGTTTTCAGAGAAATTTTTGATTCCATCTCCAAATAAATTTATTATTATTTTATTTACTTTTTGTTCATTTGGTAATAGTGTACATGCATACAAGCTTTTTTTTTTATTTTAATTAAATTTGCATTCGTTGATTTTTTTTTTACATTCAAAATTAATTTTTTTGTCTTTTTTTTATTTTTTTAGCTTTACATGTGTAAGTCAAATGTTCCAAATTGTAATAATAACCCTATGTAAACGTAAGCTAGAAGTTAAACATTAAAAAAAGAAAAAAAACTATTTATTCAGTATTTTTTAAAAATTTTTTTTAAAGAAAATACATGCTGTTTTAACAGGATAAGAATATACGCCTCAGCTTAAATTTTTGCAATCTCAGATGAATGACTCCTATATTACACAACGCAGAATGTACTATTATGTACTTCATTTATTTTTATTCAAAATATTACGAAGGTCGGGGCATATCTAGCAAGAAAACGCAAATTTAAGTAATTTAATATAATTTACACTTTTTCATGTTCTTGAATTTCTATTGTTAAAGCAATGCTGTTACTATAGAAAAAAATTTTATTCATGAAGAATTGGACTTTCCGTTACTTTACTCCATTTCTGGTTCCATTATCTAGTTTCATTTTTTCCATTGTTTATGGAAGCACTCGGACAAAGAATATTCTAGGAAGTAGATCAAAAACAAAAATGCGATAGAATTTGCTATTGTTCTTGGTGCGCCATTTTCATTTACCTATGTCATAACTGAGTGGTTCCATAGAATGGATTTGGGAGAGAAAAAAAAATTAAGAAAAATATACAAATATCGAAAATGTCTTTAACGTTTCCTACAAAAATATTTCAAAATTGTCACTCAAAACTCTCATTTTTACTATTGGTAGTTTTAATTAGGTCTTTGTCTATTATCTATGGAGACAAATTTTGGACTTAATGGACTATTATTATGAGAGATTCCTATTAAAATTGAAAATTCTATCCCATAAAATTGAAAATGTCTGCATGGGCCATTTAAATATTACGTAAGCACTTCAGGAAGATGAATTTTCAATTTGCTTATTTTTGAAATTGATAATATATGCATGGGATCATTTAAATATTACGTAAGCTTTTTAGAAAAAGTTTTCAATTTGCTTATTTTTACTGACATGAGAAATGCGAGCTTGAGCAACGCTTATGTTCAATACTAAATTCCCTTTTTAGTCCAAATATCACTTATAAATAACAAAAAATTAAATTTAGGAAAAGAAAAAAAATAAACATTCGAAACAAATTGAATATGAGAAAAAATTCTTGAAAAGTACTATATCGAGGATTATAATATTTAATATTTTAATGATATTTAAATTTTGTTTCTTTTTTAATTTGGAAAATTTTGACTTTCAAAATTGGAGCCATTTCAATTTAAAAGTATTAATAAAACTTTAAAAGTATATTAATAAAATAAGAGGTTAAACTTGCACTAGGGCAAAACAAGAAATATTTTTAAAAACCAAAAGATTATTTTCAAGGAAACGTACACCAAATTTGATCATATTCTTTGACAGTTAATCACACTTATAAAACATTTGACTTCCCAAAAATGAATTCCGGTTTACTATACTAACTTAATCAATTATATTTTCACTAATTAACAAACCTAATAATTCTTACGTTTTTTCTAATAGTTCACTACTACTTTTAAATCCTCCATAACTGAAGTAAATTTCTAAAAAAATATTAAAATTACAAATTAGAATTTATCTTTTTTTCCTTTTGTCAAAATAATACAATTAATTTTGTCAAAATAATCCAAATAATTGGAGCCACTTCAATTAGCTTTAAAAGTATAAATTAAAAAAATGTATTTAAATTAAAAAGAAAATGTTTTTAAAAATCAATTGAGTATTTTCGAGAAAACGCACACCAAAGTTGATCATGTTCTTTGACAGTTAATCATACTCATAGAACATTTGACTTTTCTAAAATGGATTACGGTTTACTATACTCACTTAATGAACCAATTGTATTTTCTCAAATTAGCAAACCTAATAGTCCTTGAGTTTTTGAATAGTTTATGGTTATTTTTTTTAAATCCTCCATAAATGATGTAATTAGAAAAAATATTGAAATTACAAATTAGATTTGACTTTTCATTTTTTTCCCTTTAACAAATGCGTTCCGTATTTTCACGTATTAAAAAAAAGCTCCTTTTGTCAAAATAATCCAAGTTCATGAACTTTTAACTATAATAAATTTTGCCTGTTTCGACATGCGTTTTATTTCAAACAAAGTGAGAGGTGGGTTTTTTATCTTTTGTTAGAACATGTGGGCATCAGAATGTGGCAAAGGTCACCCACAGCTGAATGAAATCTAAATAAAAAGCAAAATTGTTTTCACTCTTAAATAAAAGGCTGGTTTGCGATAAAAGATAGATAAAGAAAAAAGAAGATGAATTAGCATTCCTGATCGGAACAGGAAAAATATTTAATTCAAATGGGTTGACTAAGAGGAGTTTTCAGAGCTATGGAGAAAAAAATGCTAGAAAGGTACATAATCCACTCACTGAGATTGAGATTCTTGACCTTCTTTTCTAATTGTTTCGGCTTATTCTCATTTTTCCTAGCTTTTAAATTTTTTATTTCATAAATTCAGTCATTCCTAATCGCTTTTTAAATAAATAAATCAGTTGATTAATTTTAATTCAATTTTATACGGAGAAAATGCAAATAATTCCATCCTCCAATAAACGTAACGACTAATTTATTTCAACCCAAGTGTATAATTAATTATTATTTCGTGTCATAGCAACTGAACATCAAAATCTATTTTTGACCTTTATTACTTCAACCATATTGAACATTATCATAAACGTTATAAGGTTTGTTTAAATTTCCAACGATCTTTTTGGTCTTAAATTTTCAGCCAAATTATTAGAATGTTTTTCGAAGGCTCCGTCGTAATATGAAATTATTCTTTTT